GCTGCTATTTTTGGTGACATTCCTAAACAACGTTTTTTCCTGATCCTTGCTAGTAATCAGAAACCTAAATGCCAAGGTATATAAAGAATAAGAAACCACTGTGGTAAAAGTGACACTGGAACTAGATGGTAACTTGCAGTACAACCATGTAGGTAACGAGTGTCTGACATATATTGCAGGACACTGTGATTCCCTGTGATGCAATTTGTTTGATCCTGATGACTGGCTGAAGGAGATACCATTGCTTCACAGCAAACAGCGTGTGAAGGATGAGAGGTTGATACCTCTAGAAATGGAGCAGTAAACCAATTACATCAACTGCCATGGGAATGCTTCCAGAGTTAATTGTGCCTCATGGACTTTGAAAAGCCACTTGATGTGCTTGGAGTGCAGAAGGTGGTATGGAGATAGAAAGTAAAAGCTGGGAACTGTCAGAAATGGGGGAGGTGATGGGAAGTGCCAAAATGAACCAGAGACATCAGACGCAGCCTCCAGATGAAGCCATCCAAATTTCAGCAGGTGTGGTTTGTTTTTTTTTTTTTTTTCTTTCTTGATCCTCTAATGCTGCCCACATCACTTCTAACCCTGGGCAGTAGACCCACCACCTGTGTCATTCTGTGGCATGTTACTCCTCTCATCTTGAAGTAGTATTTCATTGGAAACTACTGTTGTCCTGCCATGAACTGTCAGAGTGGTGGAAGAATTCAGGCATGTGGAACTGAGAATGATACAATAAATAACTGAAAGGGCCAACTGTAAGGAAAATACCTCAATGTCTGCAAACTTTGAAGCTGGAATACAAAACCCCATTCTCTTCTAAAAAGTAATAAAGCTGCATTGTGTTCTGAAATCCAATATACATGTCCTGCATTGTTAGAATTTAGGTGGTCTAGGTACTGATTCTGTTGAAACTATGAAGTTTATGGTTTTCATAATAAAATATTTTATGTTTTTTACAGGACCAAAGGGAACAGAATTATCTTGGAAGACTTGAAACAGGAAATGTCACAAAATTAAACCTCTCCCTTAGAATAATAAAAATGTCACATTTCTTCCAATAAGTACAGCTAACAAAGCTGTGCAATAAGCCTTTCTTGCTCAACTAGACGTTTATTGAAGATGACTGCAGAACAGTGCTCATTACAACTCTGATTACTTTTTCTGCTTCTCACTTTGAGCAGTAAAACACAGGAGTGTGTATATAGCCAACTGCTTCAGCTGAATTATTTCCAGAGCTGGAAATAACTTGCTTCTCTCAACAGTCTTCCCCGTTTTAATTAGAAATTGTTGTTTGTATTGTTTGTCACATAATGATTTAAAGCAAGTCATGAAAGGAAATAAACACCTTTCCAAACAAAGAGTATATTGCCTTATTCCAACAGTAGTAACAACTCTGCCTTAACTAGATTGAGCTTCAGATAAAAATAGTCTTCCAAATTAGCATCTATTTCAAAAAATATATATACATTCTTTATGCCTGAACCAACTGTGCAATACAAATGAAAAACTAAAAAGTCAGTAACTTGTGTAATTGATACAGTACAGAATGTCAAAAACCATTTTCTCCTAATTTTCTGCTTTTAGATAAGGTTAGTAAGTATACAGCAATCCTAAAAATGCAGCTCTTACTGTTTGAAAATTTTCACTACTTAAAGAACTGTAATTAGGACACATTGCTGCCATAATCTTGTTAGATTTCACTATCAGAAGTCTGGATGGTGATGAAGATAACCTAGCAGTAATTAAGAGGGACACTGCTTTATATCCTCTGTGGACTTTGCCGAGAGCCAGCCCTAAATGGCTGAAAGCCTTCTGAAATGACACCGTGTGCTTTTCTGAGAAAGCGCAAGTGTAAGCACTAGTACAGGCATATCGCTGTGCTAAAGCACTTACAAATATGTACCACTTCATGCCATTGTGCCTCTCAGTGGGAGGATTGCACTAGGATACATCCTGCAAATTAACTCCCCAGATGAACAGATGCCCTTTTATAAGGTGCTTCAACATATAAAAATAAAGAAAAATAAAGCCCCTAAAAAGCCATAAAATATAGTATCTTATAAATTTATGCAAAAATGTTGTGGCTGCAGAATTGTACTGTACATGGAACCCTCATAAAAGGGACTACTGTTTTAATAGATTGACTTTTAGATTGATGGGTTCTCATAAACAGATACTTGTGAAAAAAACAAGTATTACAGGAGGGATTTTTACAGTCTTCCACAAATTCTTCCACTTGGAAGGATGAACAAAATTAAATCAACACAGAAAGGACTCCACATTTCAATCAAGCACTATCACAAAACCAGCCATAAACAAAACAAACACTGCAAGTCAACAGTGTTCATTTTTATAAAGTATCCCTAGCCCTGCCTCTCTTCTGGAGCAATAAAATACAAAGCATCTAAGTCAAACTGTTGAAATCAGGAGCGGAGTGCAGGAAACAGTCTGCAGAGTAATTCTAAACGTCAAGCATTTGAATTGCTGTTGGGTTTTAGAGTTGTTTTGTTTCAAAGTAGTGTCAGCACGGTGGCAGAATGTTCATTTGCAGAAGCATGAAAGTAAGACTTTCTGCAAACTGACCTACTTCCTGGCCATCGTTGCCATTTCAGGTAGCTTTGCAGCATGCTAGCAAAATGAACTTCCTGCTTCTAAAATGGGGAAAGTGTCTGAGAGGGAAGCTGCTCAACCATTAGTTTAAGCTGGCAAAATGGCAGCAGAATGAACTTAAGTAGACAATAGGGTACATTGCAGCAGACCTTAAACTAAAATGAATCCCTTAGCTTACTTAAAATATGTCTATAGAGGATAAAGAAGCAAGGCTTGGAGGGGGGATGAAATGAATTAATTTTGTTGCTGTATTGATTCTTTTTGTTTCTTTGCTTTGTTTTAAAGCACTGGTAAACTCAGACTGAAAAAAGGCAACATATATAAAAGTTCTAGACCTATCTGAACAGCTACGAAATGGATACTATAGTAAATCTCTGATGCATGTTTCTTTTTCAGATCCTCCCTTAAGATTATCCTTTTCTAACCGTGCTAGGCACGCAGCTACTTTAAATTGAATACAGGTTGCTGGAGCCCAGACATGAAGTAGAATGTAGGCTCTGATTTCAACTGAAATCCTATCTACTCTGCCAAATAAAGTACTTTGGCACATGTAGTTCTGAAAAGCCTCTTCTCGAAGGACAAGTCTTCCCCCCAAGTGCTTTGAAAGAACTGCAGATTTCAGGTAAGTGCAGCAGGAGAAGGAAAAAAACCCACCTAGTGACCCCAGATTCTTGCAACACTGACTCATTCCCAGACTAAACAGCTAGCCTAGATGTAAGCCTACAAACAGGGACCCCAGTTCTACTTCCAGCTCTTGAAGGACTTGCTAGATTACCAAGGGCAATTTACTTCACCTCCTTTGCTCTCAGACTTGTACCACCATAACTGCCAGCATGACCAAGCTTCAGTTTTGTTTTAATTTTCACATCAAATGCAATGAAAACTTCAATTTTAGCAGTTCAAACGAAATTTGGCCAAATGACATCAGATAAATATTTTATACACCATTAGACAGATTTCAGTTATGCACTAAAGACCATACGAATTCTGTTCTGGAATATGTATTTCAAACAATGCTCATGTCATCTAAAATATTAACTAAACGGTGAATTGCATCTTGAAAGCTCTATCTGCTTGTTTCCCAGTCAATGTCACTGTAACGAAGGCGAAACTGGCAGTTTAAGGGAAAACTGAAAGCAGGCTCCAGACTCGTAGGTCCTTGAAGATCTATGAGCCTTAAAGCCCCCTCCAGGACATTAAGAAACAAAGCAAAAACCCACATATAACGTTTTTATGATGTAAGGAAGAGTAACGGTGGATTTTTTTACCTACCATTTGTAGGTAACTAGTGCTACCTGGCAGAAAAGGCAACCTCTTCATTTGTTAAATGAAACTCAGCGCTGCCTGTAAGACTGTAATTTTCCCACATTCCTATGCAAGAGGAACAATCTGTTCATTTCTCCCTTTCCCAAAATAAATATCGCTGTTTGCTTCTGCTTAGTCCCTTCCATCCAGTGTAATCTGTAGGCTCTACATCAAAGTTACTGACAGGAGCTGGGGCAAGCAGAGAACGTGAAGACAGGCTCTAGCAGCGTTTTGGAACTGAGCAGCTTGCACAGCACCTTTTAAAGACACCGATAACTTTGTCGACCTGGGAAAAGAAAGCCGAAGAGCAGAAAACGTATTTTCACGCACAAAGACGCGCCGAGGCACCTCAGCTGCACCCAGGCAATAAGGAAATCGAAATGCAAAGGGTGGCGCTGAGAAGTCACCGCTGATCCGCGGCCGGCCGGCCTCTCACCCGGGCAGCGGCCGC